TCTTTTTAGTAGTTTTTAATTACCTCGCTAGTTCTATTTATTATGACTGGACTTTCAAGCCTGTAAATAGCATTACAGTTTTAGAATGTGTACCTCTTCTACTATTTCAGGATTATTTTTATGATACATTGTGTAAAAGTATGATATCAATATTGATACTGTGATGTTGCTTAATATAATCTTTTTGTTTGTATATGATTTTTATGAGTCCCTTTAGAGGAAAAGCAAAACAAGAGCAAGTGTGTCTTACTTTTTATAACTTTTATAATTTTTATAAGAACACAAATTTATCAGATTCTCAGTTGTTTTAAATATTATGTTATGATTTTTCAAATTATAGCAATTAGATTTAACCCTTCTTTAGCTTCTGAGTAGAAAAATTATATTTTACAGTAATATATATATATAAATATATATAAGTATTTACATCAGTAGGAACAAAATGAAAGGTGATATTTCAACACTTAGAAATAGGGGATTATTTTATATTTTGTTTTTTCAAAATGATATTTATGATTTAATATGATCACATAAATAAATGGTAATCATTATTTAGGTGCCAAGTAATGATAATATTTACCCTTTCAAAGTCCCTAATGAATATTTCAGCCTAAGTCTGTTTTATAAAAAGGTCTGGCTGTTTGCTTAGTGGGAATAGAGGATGATTATCTCTTTGCTTAGACACAGAAATACTTTGAAGTTATGTTTTTAATTAAGCCATGCAGAAGACTTCTGAAGGCTTTAATGTTTGTTTCTAATCTTTATACAGAAAGATTCTGAATTTTAAAAACATTACTTAGCTTACATAACAGAATTATTATTAATCTATATAGTACCATATTAATTGAAGAATTATTTATATGTATACTTTTCCATTCATATTCTCTTTACCCCTTATAATCTGAGTTTGACCTCAGTCAGATATTTTTAGCTTCTCGAATTATTTATTATGTGAATTAAATTATACATACTCATATCTCAAATAATTGTATCAAAATATCTTATAATAAAAACTTTATGTATAACAAAAATATTATTGTGGACAGATCCTTAGGTGATTACTGATAATTTCTGCCTTCTGGTCTTCATACACTATTGTATAATCCCCTTTCCTTGAGTATGGGCAGGGCATGTGACTTACTTCTAAACCAGAAAATTTAGCAAAGATAATGGATAGCACTTCTATAATTATGTTTAGTGTTTTGTGTGTGTGCGTGGTGTGAGGATTGGGTCTATTCTTACATTTTTCCAAATGGTTATCTAGTTGTCTCAAGTACTATGTAAGAGGATGACTATCCTTTTACCTCAGTCATTTAAAACACTGCTTTTATCATACACTAGAATTTTAGTAAATAGTAGCTGTACCTATTTCTGGAATTTCTGTTCAGTACCATTTATCTTTCTATTGATGTACAACTACCATATTGTTTTAATTATATACATGTTGAGTATATTTTAATGTCTTTTNGTACAACTACCATATTGTTTTAATTATATACATGTTGAGTATATTTTAATGTCTTTTCTGTCTAGGTCCCCTCAAAACCCTTCCTTTCATTGTTGCTTCTAGCTATTATTGTATGTTTATTCTTGCATGTGAACATTAAGATAAACTTTTCTAGCTCCTTTAAAGCTCATTAGAATTTTTCTTAGATCAAACTAATCACTATCTTTGAAATTAACTGCCAACTTGATGATCTTGAGATAGCCTAATGAAAAACAAGAAACGTCTTTCAGTTTATTTATATCTACTTTCGTGTTTTTCCAGGTGAAATTTATGTCTGAAATTTCATTGTTTCCTTTGCAACTATTTATTTCCTCAGATGTTTGTAAACACTGGTGTTTCTTTAAATGAGATCTGAAATTAAAATGCCAAAAACTGGTGTTTAAACTCAGCTCATATTTTGAAAGTACTTTTAATACATTCAACATTTTTCAATAATTTAATATAAAATATTTTAGACAATGTTTCTAATTAATTTTTTTGAGTTTGAAAATGTAAAAGAGAATGTCATTTTTATATTGGATACCTTCGAGAACTCTGTAAAGCCTTTGAGTTTTATTCTTATCAAGGTCGTGTTAATTTATTTCTCTTAAAATTCTAAGTTGGAGTAATGAAAGCCAGCAGAATTTATTTCCTAAACAGAAGCATATAATTTCATTCTTCTGAGAAAATTTGTGGTTTAAAGAAAATACAATTTTAAGTATTCCTTGTAAATATTATGTTGAAGGTATACATGTTATAATTATATTGATTATTTGAAAAAATGAATTATTAATAACAAGAATGAAAACTTCATAACTTCCATATTGGAGAGTAGGTTTGGGTTGGAGCTTTTAAAGTTAACTCATTGATAGATTAAAAAGTATTTGAAATCTCTTGTTGTTTGTCAAAGTTTGTCATGTTAAATTGCTATGGGAACTTGAAAGTCCTCTACTCAATATTTAGGCAATAAGATATGCAAGGAATATCATGCATAAAAATGCAGGGATTACATATAGGGTTATCATTACCATCTTTCTAAGTTCCATATATATGTGTTAGTATGCTGTANGCCCCTCAAGCTCCTCTGTCCATGGAATTCTCCCGGCAAGAATACTGGAGTGGGTTGCCATTCCCTTCTCCAGGGGATCTTCCCAACTCCGGGATCAAACCCTGGTCCTCATGCATTGCAGGCAAATTCTTTACCATCTGAGGCACCAGGGAAGCACAATATTGAGTTATCCATTTGCAACAAGTCAAGTTTACTTTTTGTGAGAGAAAAGGAATTATAGCAGTATTGTAAATCAGTCCTTTAGCATATGTATATATTTGGTATAAGGTGGTAGGATTTAAGGAGCTAAGTCTAAAGGAAGGAACAATAATATAGGAATAGTATGGACTCTGAAGTGCTTGACCCAGCAGTAATGGCTTTCATCCTTTTCTAAAGCTAGAAAACTACTATATATCACAGATTTAAAAAGTACCTTTTGGAGGTACCTATATCCTGAAGAAAACCTGTACCCCAAAATTTCTTTTTTCCAGAGGATAAAGTTAGTGGTATAAAGGACTATATAATAATTTTGTAGTTAATGTAGAAAAATATTTAGTTTTCACCTCTTTTTTTTTCTCATGGATACAAAATATTAGCAAGCACATGACTGAAAAATGCATTCAGAATGTAACTGATTATTTACTTTATTATTCTCAACCGTTTGGACCTTCATTAATTAAAATACATATGTATTCCTCGGTTCTAATTGACTCTACTAAAACTAAAGACGTTTTTGGAAGAACCTTCTTGCTTTTTAAAATTCTACATATAATTTAATATTGAGGCACTTTATTCAGTTACCCGTGTATATATTTTATAATAATTAAATTTGGAGGACATTCCAAGAAGTAGCATTATGCAAAACCAAGCTATATCTCTTTTAGGCATTAATTGTCATTTTAACTGAATTCTGGAAACAGGGATTGGAAAACTACAAACTTAGAAATTTTCAGAATACTTACAATTTTCTCCTACTTCTGTATGTAGTTAACAATATTTTTGAAGAATTTAACTTAGAGTTCTTGAGCCTGAATGCTCACGCGCTCTTCCGTTTTGTTATAATCTGCTTACAAGACTTCAAAGTTTGAACTCCTGAATTTAATCTTGAATGATTTAAAGAAAGCTTTTCTTCATGATACAATTGAGGATGTCTTAAAAATACAGATTAATTGGTTTAGAAACTGGGGAAAATATATTAATTTCAATTACCAGAAGTAAGAAAATGATATGATTTATGAATTCCCGCACTTTCCTATACCTAAAAAAATGTCTTTAAATCTTTATCCAGACTTGGAAATTCTTCCTCATGTTGTTAAGGAAGAATACATACCCCCTAAATTCATAATTTTATCCCATCCTTTATATTCCTATTCTGTGTTTTTTTCCACTTATTCTCTCACTTATGTTTGCATATAGGCTTTCTACATTAATTCTTTTGAATATTTGCTTTTAAAACTTTAATTAATAGTATAGCTTTTAAAATATGTTTTAGTGTAGAGTTTAATTACTTGTTTGCTTGAAGGAAAAACATGAAGCTTTTGAATTTTGTTATTTAATAGTAAATGAGTTCTTTGTGTTTCTACAGATGTGACTCTGAAAATCGCTATGTTGGTAATCCACTTAGAGGAACATGTTATTGTAAGTATTTGTGTTTTTTATTTTAGATAATTGGTTTGTTTTATTAGTTTCAGGTGATTTTACAGGTAGTGAAATTCATTTTGAATAACTAATGTCATTAATAGTTTATTTTTTCTATTTTTGAATCTTATAGCTCCATATATTTTGCTAGGGAAGTCAGTGTCTCTTTGCTATATTCTCTAATTATATTAATATTTGGTGCATTTTTTTCTACTCTGAGGAGTGAAACAGCAGTAGATCTTATTTTGAACATGCAACAAAAAACAGAACTTGAGTAACTCAGCTGGATTTTAATGTAATCTTTTTCATTATGATTAAATTTTGAACAAATAGAATTTTGTGATAGATTTTTCTGGGAGGCAATTTTGGTTTTACTAAAAAGCAGTACTGATTTTGTACTGCAAGATCCTGTTATTGGGTAGTGATGATATGGCAGTTATACGTTTAACTTCCAAGAAACAAGCAAACCATTTCTCAAATGGTGGTACTATTTTCCATTTCCACCCGCAGTGTATGTTCTTCAAAGTCTCTCGGCACTTCGTATAGTCTTTTACATTTTAGCCGTTCTAAGTGTGTTTTTTCTTTTCTAACTTCATTTTGTGTAACTATGGTAATAACTTTCAAAGATGAATTTGACAAGATTGTGTTTTAAAACAAGAATAGTTAAACAATATGAAGTGAACTTCAAAGACTAACTGAATTTAACTGAGATCTCTGGATCTGGCATTTTTTAATTGGTAGATTCTTTGTTGTTGTTCATCTTCTTTTCCTCCTTATATAAATGTGGGCTTTTGAGTTTATTCATTGTTTCCACCGATTTTGTTTTCTAGTTCTTCTGCTTTAGGTTTTGTCCTTAGTGATGTCCTTCTCTTTTATAGTTTTTAATTGTTGTTTTTGCCTCCATTTTATTTGTTTGCTTTTTAATATTATTTTCTATATATTTTGTGGTTCAATTTTAACTTCTTTTTGAATTTTTTAAGAATTTTCTTGATTTCAATTAAGTAAGTCTTACTAAAATCCATGTTTTAATTATTTTTTATAATTTTATTGAGAATGTAGCATAAAACTCCCCAAACTTAGTAAGATATTTTTGTAGTCTATGGGACATTTGACAGTGTTCGTAGAGCTTTTTATGTATCACAAGTAGGCATGGGGTGTGGATCCTGTGGACTTCTAATGGGTAGAGGTTGCTATTGATACATGACCTACAATACACATGAGAGCTTCTTAGAACCAAGAATCATCTGACTCAAATTTCAACACCATGAGGGTTGAGAAATCCTGATTTAGAGGTTTAATCAGATTCAGATATGATTTTGGAGGAAATACTTTGACAGGTGGTTTTGTGTTCTTCATGTAACTGAAGCACATAATGCCTGCAAGTCTCTTTTTTTGTTCTTAGCAGACACTGATGCTCAGTGTTAGATTGCAACTGATTTGGGGGTTATAAACTGTGGTATTCTTACTCCTTTATTTCTTGATTGGAAAACTTTTGTGAAAACAAATTTCCTTAATCGAGGCATTTGCTTAATCATTGCTACAGGCACATAGGAAAGGCATGATAAATTTTTAATATATTTTTAAAAAAATATTTCGGTTTCCAAAATACTTTGCTTAGTAAGGTTACAACTTGGGTTTGCTGTGTTTGTATCATAAACTTATGGACACATGCATATTTCATATGTTTCAGTCCACTTGCAATTATTGTCCTTAATGATGTTCACATTGTCTGTTTTCTATTTGTTTTAATATATCCTCGTTCTCTATATTTTCCACATAAATTTTACTTAGTTTTCTCAAACATCCTGGATTTAATGAGTACATATTTTTGTCTGACTTTTTAAAATTAGAAATTCCTGTTTGATTCTTCTTAAATTTTTAGTGTTTATTATATCCCCAAAGAGTAATATAGTTACAATTATGGACACAAATAAATTACATTCCATTTTTAGAAATAATGAATGCACTAATATTTTAGCCTTTTATATTTAAGGCTAAGATGATTTTTCTTTAGATCAGTGCTATCCAAATAAACTAGTGTAAGCCATATATGGAATTAAAATTTTTCTACTAGCTATATCTCAAATATTAAACAGGTGAAGTTAATTTTGATAATATATTTTATTTAATTCAAAATATCTAAAACATATCATAGTATAAAAAATCATCAACGGCCTATTTTTATTTTTTATTTTTTGCAAGTGTTTGAATACAGCTTGTATACTATACTAATGGCAATCTCAATTCAAATCAGTCACATTTTAATTACTCAAGACACATTTGACTAGTGACTACCATATTGGAAGCTCGTCTATTATATAGGACTCTCACTGTCTCTTTAAAACGTTATAGGAATAGTCATAAAGCACTAGATGGCAGTCTTGTCACTTCTTATGAGACCTTAAAAGAGTAATAATATTTAAAAGAAATGGTGTTTTTTAAAAAAGAGAGAAAAGGTCAGTGGTTCTTGTAATAGTGTTAATGGAAACTATCCTGATTTTAAAGTGTGAAATTTAAAATGCAGGTCCACATTGTAACTTGAAGCAATTGAGTGTGATTTGGTGTTAATTTAATTGAAACTAACACTACAGCACTTGTATCCTATGGACAGTCTTAGTAGTTATTTAGAAGTCAGTTTAAACTCCCAAATCAAATGTATTTGATAGCTATCATGTATTACATGGGAAAAAAGTTTCTATCAATGATATCAAACTTGATTGACCCCTGTAAACATTGAAGGACTTAATTATTCTTGGCAAATAAGAAAAGTAATAGCTACGAAGTAGTATAATTTCTTTTTTTCTTAAATGCATTTTGAAAAATTATAATAGCAATTATGGTGAAGAAAACCATAGACACAAGATGAAAGACTGGACTATGAAAATGTTATAAAGGATATATTTCCATGAGTAGAATCAGTATGAAAAGCCACTTACTGAAATCATCTACTTCATGCTTCTAATGTATGTAGTGTTCAAACTGCTGATTGAATTTCAGTATATTTCCAAGTAATCTAATATACTTTTGTCACCTTTTTCTCTGAAGAAATAGCTGTTTTGCTTTGATTTTCTCCTATTGCTTTTTAGAGTTCAGTGTGCAGTTTTGTTATGAAAATAATACACTTCCCTCTTCTAAGAGTAAGAATTTTAGTTAGTACTTTTATATTCCGTTCTCACCTCTGCCACTGATCACATCTTGCCTTTGTTCATATTACTAAAAATTAAAATATTTATCCATTTATCTCCCTGTAAAACCTCTCATTATTATTGATTTATTTAATAGATGCTTATGTCTTGACTGAAAGACATTTTTATACTTATAAATTATTTTTTGTTTTATTGGATTTGATTTTTTCTTTTGTTTCATAAATGTGAGGTAATATTTCTAGTGTGTGTTGTTATAGCTATAAATTAACAAATATTAGCCTCAATTTAGTTACTTAAAATTCTATGTCATGTAAAATAGTGAAACAATTAAAACTTGAATTAACCTTACATTTAGTGTAACTATTCTGTGTTTTGTTTTAAAATAGAATAAAAAATTTCTCCTCTTTTAAATCAAATATATTGTACTCTAATGGTTTATGTGACTTTTAAAATGATGATCTGCCTGGTACATCTGCAAATAGAGCAGAAGTGACCTTGATCGACACAAAGAATCTAAATTTTTATATTTCACAAATTGAAGAATGATGGATTGAAGATTGTCTGGGAAAACATAAATGAGCCACATGGTTGACATTTTAATCTTATTCTTTGATTCATGTGTTTTTATTAAATTTCCTGAAGCTTATACGCCAGTGTTTTTAAATATGTATCTTAGGATTATTGAATATCTTAGCGTATTTCAAAATGAAGGACGACACAGCACAATTATGAGAAAGTGAAAAATAGCTGAGAGAAAAAAGTTGCTATTAACTTAGAAAAGAGATGAAAATTTATGTGATTGTATATTTACAAGGATGTGTTTTGTTATTCTGGATATGTAAGTAACATCGTAAAAATAGTTAAATTAAAAAAAAAAGTTTAAGGAGGGAAGCAGAGATGTCTGAAAACCTCCCCCCAGGGCTCCCGAGTGGAGCTCTGCCCTCTGTGTCCTCTTAATCCAGGCAGCCTGGGTCTATAGCCACTTCTGGGTCTATACCACCCCCTCTCAACTACAGGTGGTAAAACTATTTCTACTAAAATTCACAATATATTTAATCTGAGTTGAATAAAATAAAAATGTCATGTTAAAGACAATGAAAACAGGACCTAAATAATTAAAAAAGTTTAAACTGTTTTCTCAAATGATGTCTTCATATGAAAATATGCTTACCAAAATTGATATATAAATTATAGTTTTAATTAGAATTCATCCAGTTTAATTTTTTGAAATGGATGCATTGGAGTGAATTATCATAAAATTTATTTTAAATGATACACTTTTAGAATATTCAGTAAAATTATAAAAAGGAAAAATAGTGAGAAATTCCCACCTGGTAGATATCCAGACATATGGTAACTGTAATTGTACTGGTTCCTGTTTGCTATAGGAATCAAATTAATAAGACAGAGTTCAGGATTAGATTCCTGAACATTTGGAAATTTCTGTGGCAGTCAATTTATTTTTATAGAAGTTCTTAACGACTTAATCTGTTTGTTCTAAAATGTCCCAGACTTTACCTTAGATCATGGCTTTTGGATTTACTACTTTTCTGCCTCAAATACTCCATCGCTATTACTCTACTCTTACCTAAAATAGACTTGGTTAGGGATTATGACTTTTTTATTTTCCATCCTAACACTTACACTAAAATGAAGTTATATCTCACTTATTTGTTTACTTGAATATGGGTTTTCTTTACTCACTAGAAAGAAAATCTGGGAGCCCAGGACTTTCTTGTGTTGGAACCATTCTTAAAATAGAAACACCTGTGGCTCCTAGGACAGCCTTCAGTAAATATACTAGGAGTACACATGTATGCTATTAATAAATAAATGAATACACATATATTGTTG